CGCCGACACCGACGCCGGACTTTGTGCGAAGCGAGCTCATTAAAAAAAAAAAGATTCGCCGCGTACCTGCATGCTTCGCTAAAAGGATGTTGAACGGCGGGAGTCTTCTGGCTGAAAACACTGCGTGGGATATGGATGCCATCTTGCAGTAATGTCAATAAAAGAAAGTTTCTTTTAGAAAGTGGAGCAGCTAGAATGCAGCAGTAACGCTTCGTTTTAGCGAAGCGCAGAAAACACCCACTTTTTTTGTTCAGAGCGCCGCATTTTCAGCGGGGTGTAACCAACACTGCGGTCTTTAGAATTACGTATCTGTGCATTTTCTACATAGAGGAACACACTACCTAATACTTAAGTATTGATGTTGTGCCTCCAAGATGCATAATATTTGCTTTTAATGGCGAAGCGTTTCTTGGCGAAATTTGGTGACTTCGAGCGTATCTATCTATCTATCTATCTATCTATCTATCTATCTATCTATCTATCTATCTTATCTATCTATCTATCTATCTATCTATCTATCTATCTATCTATCTATCTATCTATCTATCTATCTATCTATCTATCTATCTATCTATCTATCTATCTATCTATCTACTATCTATCTATCTATCTATCTATCTATCTATCTATCTATCTATCTATCTATCTATCTATCTATCTATCTATCTATCTATCTATCTATCTATCTATCTATCTATCTATCTATCTATCTATCTATCTATCTATCTATCTAAAAGCCGCCTACGGCATTTAGCTCTCCTGACCGTTTGAATAATGGTATCAATGCCAAACTTGGTATGATATAAGATAACTGTATGACGAACATAACTGACTAGTTTTAACATGAAAATATTGACATGTATGTCATAAATGTCAAGATTTACATTTCATGGTCTTGATGCTCTCGCGGTGGTTTCATTCACAAAATATGTTGCAAAACTGGTATCATCATATATGCGAGCATCATATATCATCATATGGCGAGCAGAAGCGACAGACCCTAACATCAAAATCAATATATGCGTGTCATGTAACAACATGACTACATGACACACTCAGGATGTGCTCGCGGCCGTTTCGCTATCTTTGCATATACCGAATTTGGTATTACGGGACGTGAATCGATGACGAAGATTAGTGACTGTTACAAACTTGATAATCCTGAGATGCGTGTCATGTAACAACATGACTACATGCCATGCTCATGATGTACTCGCAGCCGTTTCCCTAGTTTCTCATGAACCAAATTCGGTGTTACGGGACGTGAATGGCTGACGAAGGTATTTGACTGGTGCAAACATGATAATCATGAGATGCGGGTTATGTAAAAACATGACTACGTGCTACGCTCATGATGTGCTCGCGGCTGTTTCGCTGGCTTCACATGTACCAAATCCGGTATTACGTGACGTCAATGGATGACGAAGGTATGTGACTGGTGTAAACATGATAATCATAAGATGCGTGTCCTGTGTGTACATTAATACAAGCCACACTCAATGCGTCAATACACTCCGACGTGAGCCGGCGCGCGTGCGTGCCCGCGTTTGTTTTATCGCGTCACGCCGGCGATGCCACGCCAGGCGCCCATCTCCCCCTTGTAGAGAGCACTGGATCGGCCCACTAACCTTCATTGTGGATCTGCATGCCATACACTCGCAGACGCACACTGCGCTGCGTTGCTTTGACGTATGCGCGTTTGAGCGCACATGGCGTCCCGAAGAGAGGCAGACGCGGTGCTAAGTAACGTCGTCGGCGCGAAATTCAGCATGTCGCATTTTGTGCCTGTTGCCACCGGGCCACGCCGACGGATGCCGCTGGTCGGGCCGGTAGCGCCTGGCGTCACACTATAGTTCTCACGTTTTGCTAGCGTGGCGTCGCTGCGCCCAGTCTGCGCTCGCGTCAACGTTGCGTCGGAGTGTATCGGGCTTTTCTTGACGCGCTCAGCGCCGTTACGCTAGCTGCACATGTACCACATTTGACAGCTTCAAACCAGATAATCATATTATGCTTTTAAGGTAAAACATTGACAACATGTTACACTCATAGCTGTCTCACGGCCGTTTCACTAGTTACAATATACCAAATTTACTGTTACGTGACGTCAATGGACGATGAATGTAAAGGACACGTCCGAATATGATAATTATGACATGGATTTAATGTAAACATGACTATGTGCTACGTCATAGCATGCTCGCGGCCGTTTCGCTAGCTCACTGTGTGCCAAAGTTGGTATCAGGTGACGTTATAGACCGCAAAGGTAATTGAAACGTTAAACATAATAATCATGTCAGGATACCATGTACGGCATATTTCACCTCCGCCTCTTATAAGTTCTGCTAATTTTACAGGGACCTATCGGCCTTCCTCCTTGTGCTTGCATATCATCAATACCACTGTACGTGGGATCTGCCAATTTTTCGTTGAAATGTTCGCAGAGAAATTCTTTTCGGGGACGGGGGGGGGCACCCACTTGATTTCGGAAGGGGCACCCCCCGAAATTGCCATTCTCGCTCTTTCTGCCAGGGCGAAAAAATTTTCAAGGGGGCGGGCACGGGCCTGATGTGCCACCCCATGGCTACGCCCCTGCGGGGTTGAGCAAAGGGTTATGCTTTGACTGGGTAGTGCACCGTTCGACAAACAGTCAGACAGACTGTAATTTTTGCGTTGAAGCATATCCCAAGAAAGGCGGTCGTCTTTACAATAAAAGTGGCTGAAAAGCATGAAGTGACAGAAAGGCGGCTATCTTTGTGTCTGCACCTCTGTTAAGCTGTCACCTTTTTCTGCATCCTGCCACTTTTCTTTTTATTGTTAGTATTTTTTGTGAGTATAAGCATGTAGCGTATCAGTCAACAAGCAGATGTGACATGGAGCATTGCGCCAGCTAAAGCGTTCCTGGTAGCTGTGAATGTCACTTTGCCCCTAGGCAACTACTCAATTGGAGTAATAGTAAATGGTGCATATTAAGAAGGTCGGTAAGGGCAAAAACAATCTGCGGAACATTCAGTGGCTCCGCTTAGATAGTGCTCGCGGCTGTTCGCTGGCTTCACCTGTACAAATCCGGTTTTATACGTGCCGTCAATGGATGACGAAGGTATAATGTGAATGGTCTTGTAAAACATGATAATCAAGATGCGTGTCCATTGTGGACATTAATACAAGCCACACTCAATGCGTCAATACACTCCGACGTGAGCCGGCGCGCGTGCGTGCCCGCGTTTGTTTTATCGCGTCACGCCGGCCGATGCCACGCCAGGCGCCCATCTCCCCCTTGTAGAGAGCACTGGATCGGCCCACTAACCTTCATTGTGGATCTGCATGCCATACACTCGCAGACGCACACTGCGCTGCGTTGCTTGGACGTATGCGCGTTTGAGCGCACATGGCGTCCCGAAGAGAGGCAGACGCGGTGCTAAGTAACGTCGTCGGCGCGAAATTCAGCATGTCGCATTTTGTGCCTGTTGCCACCGGGCCACGCCGACGGATGCCGCTGGTCGGGCCGGTAGCGCCTGGCGTCACACTATAGTTCTCACGTTTTGCTAGCGTGGCGTCGCTGCGCCCAGTCTGCGCTCGCGTCAACGTTGCGTCGGAGTGTATCGGGCTTTTCTTGACGCGCTCAGCGCCGTTACGCTAGCTGCACATGTACCACATTTGACAGCTTCAAACCAGATAATCATATTATGCTTTTAAGGTAAAACATGACAACATGTTACACTCATAGCTGTCTCACGGCCGTTTCACTAGTTACACATATACCAAATTTGGTGTTACGTGACGTCAATGGAAGATGAATATAAATGACACGTCCAAATATGATAATCATGACATGGATTTAATGTAAACATGACTATGTGCTACGCTCATAGCATGCTCGCGGCCGTTTCGCTAGCTCACTGTGTGCCAAAGTTGGTATCAGGTGACGTTAATAGACCGCAAAGGTAATTGAAACGTTTAAACATAATAATCATGTCATGGAATACATGTACGGCATATTTCACCTCCGCCTCTTAAAGTTCTGCTAATTTTAAAGGGACCTATCGGCCTTCCTCCTTTGTGCTTCGCATATCATCAATTACCACTGTACGTGGGATCTGCCAATTTTTCGTTGACAATGTTCGCAAGAAACTTCTTTTCGGGGACGGGGGGGGGCACCCACTTGATTTCGGAAGGGGCACCCCCCGAAATTGCCATTTCTCGCTCTTTCTGCCAGGGCGAAAAAATTTTCAAGGGGGCGGGCACGGGCCTGATGTGCCACCCCATGGCTACGCCCCTGCGGGGTTGAGCAAAGGGTTATGCTTTGACTGGGTAGTGCACCGTTCGACAAACAGTCAGACAGACTGTAATTTTTGCGTTGAAGCATATCCCAAGAAAGGCGGTCGTCTTTACAATAAAAGTGGCTGAAAAGCATGAAGTGACAGAAAGGCGGCTATCTTTGTGTCTGCACCTCTGTTAAGCTGTCACCTTTTTCTGCATCCTGCCACTTTTCTTTTTATTGTTAGTATTTTTTGTGAGTATAAGCATGTAGCGTATCAGTCAACAAGCAGATGTGACATGGAGCATTGCGCCAGCTAAAGCGTTCCTGGTAGCTGTGAATGTCACTTTGCCCCTAGGCAACTACTCAATTGGAGTAATAGTAAATGGTGCATATTAAGAAGGTCGGTAAGGGCAAAAACAATCTGCGGAACATTCAGCCTAAACATCGGCAGAAGTCGAAAAGGCTGAGGAGTCTTGCAGATTTTTTGTGGACGGGCATAAGCACGTTCGTACAGCTTGAAAATTTGTGTCCGACGAACGAGTGGTTTCAGGTGCTAAATAGTGGCCAAGAAACGTGATGTCGCCGAAGTGTCATTGCTAAAAGTGAGAGGTTCGTACGGGACGCTCTCTGAAAGGTTAAAAGTGTGTAGAATAGTTTTGAGATCTATGCAGAGCTTCCTTTACAAAGAATTATACTACAACGAATTCATTACACGACTAAGACGGCAAGGAACACTTCGCAGGTACCTTCAGAAATGCGGCGCCCACGACCTGCTCTTCTGCTACCGGTGGCTGCTGCTGGAGCTGAAGCGCGAGTTCTCCTTCGACGACGCATTGCACATGCTCGAGGTGCAGTGGAGTTCGCTGCCGCCGATGCCACCGGACGGAGAACTGCCTCTGTTCGAGCGGCCCTACGAGATGGACGATGTCGTGCCACGTGGCCCACTGTCCACGAATGCCTGTGCCAGCTCACAGAACAGTGCGCATGTCATTTTGCTAAAGAGCCAGCAACCAGGAGTGCCGATGACGACATCCTCCAAGTTCGTCAACGTGTTGACAGATGGCGATGACGAAGATCAGGGTGTTTTCAAGCCCCTGATTACACCCGTGAGGCAAGAACTCAGCACGAAGCTGATCAGCACGCGCTGGGAGCCATGCGCCAAGACACGGAGTGACGGCTGCGGAGACAGTGCGGACAAGTGTGTCCCGGAAGTGGGGGATTTGTCCAAGAAGAAGATTCGCGACGACCCCGTGTTGCAGGATGCTGGCGCATCTTCCAGCGGTGCCTGTACGGAGGACTCTTGCGCTGTGCCGCGGACGAATGTTTCGAATTCCGCTAGAATCACCTGGCGCCGATATTCCGCCAACATGAAGCTTCCGCGGCCACAGGAGCTTGGTGGCGGCAACCCGTTCATGATGTTTCTTTGCTTAGCGATTCTCACGCAGCATCGAGACGTAATTATGCGCAAAGGCATGGACTACAATGAACTGGCCATGCATTTTGATAAGCTAGTACGACAACAAGACTTGCAGAGCGTGCTTCAGCGGGCCAGGGCGTTGTACGCGAAGTACTTGAGCCTCGGATGGGGCGAACCTTTGGAAGAGAATCCACGCGTGTAGTGGTGCTCCAGGAGATATTGAATTCCGCTGAAGGTGGCCTCTGGCTGATGTTACCCGGGTAATGTAAGACGTGGGTTTACAAATTCCGACTCCACATGGCTTCAGTGCATCCTAATTGTGCTGGCAGAACAACGAGATCTTTCAAGGTAGCCTTGCGCCACGCACCGCAATGACTGCCTTTGTGGTATAAACATGATGGCACTGTGTTTCTTGCGCGGTGCTGCTATATGCGTTTATGTAAATAATAACAGATTTGATTTCGGACTGAATATTCCTGCCTAATTCTGAGGCTTATTCCGAAAAAGGGTTGCGTTTACTCAAATTCGCCACCATATCTAGCAAATCAGCAAAAGCCTTGTAAACTACTCTAATGTTCGGGGAATTGTGGGCATAGCCAATATTTGTGGATACATTTCAGCGAAATGACTATCTTTGAACTGCGAATATACGCATATCAGCTTCGCATATTACGCGTATCATCTTCGCAAGATTACGCATATCAGCTTTGCGAGATTTTCTGTAGCCAGACATGTTAGTTAGATGCTATATTCTGACCTTTGCAGTTGAAACTCAGCTTGTTTTCGGTACGTAGGGGGTGGGGGGGTCCAGCGCTGGATAGGTGGAGTGCCGAAAAAGAGCACCTGGCGGAGATTCGCGACACAAGTCAGCTGCTCGCGCCCAGACGACCGGCCGCAGTGTACCACTCTGAGAGCACGCGCATGTGCCGCGGCCATGTTTCATTTAAGGACGAACAGCTCGAAAAGCTATTGCGCCAGTACACTGCACTGTGATTTAGAATGCTAACTTGGTCCGTAGGCTGCTCTCACATAAAAAAACACTAAAAAACGGACCGAAGCGTTGCAACGAGAACGGCGTCTGTATATATATTGTATCTAAGGGACAGTGCTGTGCCGTGCCGTGATGACAACTTTCTCATCCTCATTTTCTGGTTGCATGCTGCGTTTTGCCCTAATGCTTGTGCTGGCTGAAATGCCCCCATTGATAGGTCCGTGCTACGATGGTAGCACGCGGCCAACATCTGCAGTAAAACAAAACAAAAGAAGTGTAAGTGGTAGCTGCGTCATTTTTTTTCTGGCGCCGTTTATACGTCCTGTCCGTGGTATCTATACAGGGGGACGGTGATTAGGCAAACCACTGTGGCAGCATAGCACGTGTGGTGTCGCACTGCTATTCTTGAGGGGGCGGAATGGACTAGCGACCGCGGCACCAGTACATTGATGGGGGTGGAACATAGAAAGAACACTTGTAAACCAAGATATATGATGGAGAACCATAAGCGCTCACAATCTTGATACGCACACTACAGCGATCCTCCAAATGAAATGTCTTGTTTGGCACATGAAAGCCGAGCAATTAACAATGTTGAAAAGGCACCTTCATTTTCAGCCGACACATGCAAGCGGGAAAACTGAAACTGTGCGTTAGGCGAACTGAACAACGAGTAAAAATCGAATACACTTGATGTTTCCCTAGCAAGGCATAAATTTCGATGTTACTTGGCCACAACTGCCAGTCAGAAAAACGCTTAAGGCATCGCCTGACTCCAGAAATCTAAGTGTCGAGTAAAGTGCTGCTTTGTTCGTTACAAGAACCCTGTTTTTTACACAAAAATAAGTTAAACAGAGGCAGCTCAGCATCGAGTGTTCACGGCGAGAGCACTTTTTATAACAGTTCAGAGGCGTTGGTGAACGTGGACCCGCACAAGTCATGGAAACAAGGCAGCTTTCCCCTACACGCAACTCTTTCAAAAATATACTAGTACCTGCCTATTGTATCATTCACCTCACGCGGGGGCATCATATAGTTGGTGGTCAGATGAATGGAGGCATGGAAACTTTGTTAGTCCTGAAGTGCACAACTCAACGCTCAGAGGCCACATAAAAAAAGATTTACATATGCCACATGTTGCATATTACTCTCGTTCTGTTTCCGGCAAAACACTATTTACACTCGACTGTTTGGCCCTGGTTTTCACTGGTGGCCGTCTTCACTACCGAAAACGTATAGCAGACACGAGCCATTAGGTTTAAAAATGAGCCCGATAACACTATACAGGTGAGCGAGAGCAGAATTTTGCTCGTTTTTCCGCTTGGATGCAACGCCGCCTCCTCTTTCTACGTCCTCCCTTCACTCTATACGTCCTCCCTCTATTTATATATTGTTGCACTTGAATGCACAGCAGTACCGTCAGCGCCCTTTGGTTTTGTTACGGCGATGCCCGCCCGCACCGCCTGTACCAGCCACCACTCTCGTCTGTGGGAGCAGCTGAGAATTGCGCGCTTTGACCGCTAGGGTGGTCGAGGAAACTCCAGTACTGGTTCTCTATAGCATTCGTCAATGTTTTTGTAGTGCATGAATTGCATGAAATTCATTGTACGCGGAAGGTGGCGTAGGCTTGCGTTTTGCTCTCGAAACCACAGCCAACGCTGCGCCGCTTATTTTTCTGCGCTTGTTGACAGATAGCAGCACACAGCAAGCCATTTGCTTGTGAATGGGTTCTAGAGTGGAATGTTCTTCGCGCATAGCTAAACATGGTGAGTCATGCAGTGTTGGTGTTGTCGAAGTCGTTCCGCGAAAACAATTTCATATATTGCCTTCATCACTGACATTGAAAGAAATCATTTTGACGACGAGAATCTTTTAATGGACGTGGAAATTTGTCAACGCACCGAGAGTGACAGTGACGATGAACAATTAGCTGCTAACTCATTAGGAGCGAGTTTCACTTCACGTACCCGCGTGAGTCGCTTTGAGTGTATTTAATGTATATTATCCTTCCGTGAAGTCAAAATATAAGGATAATTTTCTTGTGCACTGCACGTAGCTCAATTACAGTGGATATTATGGAGCGCCACGTACCGCCAACAGGCTCGAGCTTGACCAGTAACGCGAAATTGTTAGAGCAATGAAACATGCAGTTACGACTACAATTCACGCCTGTTTGATATCTTATCCTGCTATCTACCGGTACCTTTCGAACTACGGTGTTGTTTGATGAATTTTCGCAATTTCGACGTGCGGAAAGCACACGTGCGTATTTTCGATATCCTTGTTTCGATCGCACTGATGGAACCTGCAACATCCGAGTGTTGTGAAACGCGTGCGATTAGAGTCTGAGCATTACCGTGACACAACTGCTACTTAATGAAAAGTCAAATGCCTGTGTTCCGTTGAAGAAGCTATTCCATGTTGCTGACAGCGCAAGTAAGGACGACAGCTTATGCTTGCTAGCCACCACCAGTTTAAACATTCAGTTCGCTGCAGCTACAATGGCACGCTACTCGCTAGCGGCCTACTCTTGCGGCAAATCTGTCATGCAGGTTTGGTAACGATTGCCTCGGAGTACCCTTCAGTTCGTACGTCAATTCTAGTTCACGCATTTTTTCTAGCACGCACAGTAATACGCAATGTATCGTCGATGCACGGTCAATCAGCTGACAACACCACTTTTCGCACTCCGGCACCATCGTTGGGGAAAATACTTTGGTCCAATATATATTCATTTCAAGATCAAGAGTTCATACGGCAAAAGCCGCACGGGGCGCTAGTCCGTGCGTCTTCTCTTTTCCAACGCAAGTTCACGGGTTGACCTTCCTCCCGCAGCCATCTTCGATTGCACGGCGCGCCTCCTATAGCACGCGGGCATTGCGAATAACCCCACTGTGCCGTTTTCGCACCAGACGTACATGCACGAAGTTTCTGCTACAACAATTTTGTGATTACCTAGTTCATTATGACCCTGTTAGATGGCACCCCTTATCCAGCCTGTTGGGGGCTCGCACTTGAACGGCGTCGATGTTCTAGGCCACTCTATAGCTTAATAACCCAACTGAATTAGTGTAATCACTACTCGTGCTCGCACTTCAGCTTATTTTGACTCGACAATTTCGTAAACGTTTAAGTTCCGTAAATACCCACGCATACGCAGATTCCATTTGGTATTCGGTTACACGGTAACGTAAAGATGTATAGTACAAGCTAAAAGCCCGCAATGTGCGAGCAGTAGAGATACTCACGATTGCTACCTGCCAGCCTCGTAATTCCCTTAGAAAACGGTCGGTGTGTTCCTTGCATGAGTTGATCCACGCCGGAGGCTTATGGTGAGCCACTGTAACTTATTGCGCGGGGGCACTGCATTTTATACAGGATAACGTTCAAACGAACGGACACTGGTTCACTCTGCCACTACCTGCTTCAGAGGAGGCTGAGATCATGGTTCACAAAATACGAGCACCACTATGTTGGAATGGCTGGGATAATGGCAAGCTCCCGTAATCTGATGACTCAGAGGCGTCGGCATACGAAGCGCATGCTTTGTGAGAGGACGAGAGAACAATGCTGCATTGGCAGGTTATGCTTGCGTCCCTCTGTAATCCAGCACTGGAGAACATACGCAAGTTTTCATTATGAGTGGAAGATTGCCGATTTCATTACACTTCTTATGAAGCAAAGAGCATGTAATAATCTTGACAACAAAACGCTCATTGCCTTAACATTCAATGTGGTAAAACTTGTCGAAATGGTCTTTCATTGTCTTCTTATACATTTTTATAGTAAGAAGCCATTGCTGAGCTCTTCCGAAATTGCTTTTAGATCTGGATATTCAGTAAGGCACACAAGCATTAACCTTGAAAATCGAATCCACAATTCCCGGCACAAAGAGCAGTATGCGGCTTTAGTGATTTTAGACCTATGATAGTATAGATCATACTATTTAATTTAGTTGGCTATGAAGCCTTGGGTTCCTATTTATATCGTAGCATCGGCAACAGGATATTCAAGTGGGAGACAATTTTATTGTTTTCAAGGTGGCTTCTCTTGTAGGAAGCACTAACAAAGCCGTGGTCTTCAGGGGTCACTACTTCCTCCCGTATTGTTTAACAAGTTGCTGAGTAGTGTGCCATTTCAGCCAGATGTAAAAATTTACGTTTCTTTCTTTGCTATGACTAACAGTATTTGTAGTCTTTACAATATCTAGC